ATAAAAGAAAAGGTATATTTGCAACCTGAAGAGAAGGCAACTTTGATGAAATTTGGAGAAAACATTCCAAGTGGAAGAACAAATAGTAGAGGCCCTGTGTTTGGAAGGAGGTTGATGTATTCCAGGACATTAAGGTCATTCTAGCCCTATGATTAATGGAAACATCAAGAGGAGGTAGACCTAAACCAAGGATGGCCTTGTTTGGATTTAACTCATGATGGGATCATAGAGTTCTGAACAGGGAATTGATGTTGATCTGAATTAGGAAGAGATGAAGATGACAGTGACTTGAATAAGTAGGAATGAGGACAGTGATAAGCTGTCGGCTAATATAATAGAATTTGGAGATATAACCTACAAGGGTTGCTTATGGATTGGAAGTTGAATATGTGGGAGAGGGAAGACTCCTGGGATAATGATGGAACTTGGATGGAAGGTGGTATTTGGTATGCCGAGATGGGGAAGAAGCAGAAGTGGATTGTGAAAGAAAATCAGCAGTTTTGTTCTAGTCATGTTAAGTTTCATATGTCAGTTGCATATCCAAGAAGTGGTGTTATATGATTAAATGTATAATTCTGGAGTTCTTAGGAGAGCTCTGTGCTGTCAATGGCAGCCTTTGATTATAGACTTTTGCAGCTTTTGAATTAGATAAGATCACCTAGGAGAGTGTACAGAAGGTAAGAGGCTGAAAACAGTTCTCAAATATTCCCAGAAGTGCAAGATTATGATTTAGGAGAAATGTGCAAAGGATACAGGGAGACAAAATATGGCAAGTATTGGAAAGCTTAAATTTCACTTGAGTTTGTAAGAAGGAAAGAAGGAGTTGTGCTAAATGCTGCTTAGAGGTCAATGTAGCAAATGAATTATAGTGAGCTGCTATTACAAATAAATCCTAAATTGTCAAAGGGTTCAGATAGCATACTTTTTCTCTTCTCATATATAAAGTATTAGGAGAATGGTGGTGAAGAGGCCAATGTGCCCGGCTGTATCTCACTTAGTCATTTAAGAACACAAGTAAATGAAGGCTCCAATACAGGGTGGCTTCAAGATCACATTGGAGTTATGGAGATTAAATGGAGATTAAAGCCAGCTAACAGGGAAAAAGAACACAGAGGGTTTTAATTGGGAGATTATTATGAACCAGAACTGGGAATGGTAAACATCTCATATTCCAATGATGAATTCAGTCACATAGCTATTAGCTTCCTTGGAGGCAGTAATAAACCATATACATACAGGGAAAAAGAAGCACCAACTTATTGTGAGTAGCAAATAATTGCTGCTGCCACAGATGATTTGGCAAGAGCTTTTAAGAACTTTCTTAGTAATGAAGGCCAAGAGAAGACCAGAGGTAAGAAATGAAACAAATGAATGCAGATCTTTTCTGTAGTTCTACCACAGAATGGCTTAGAGGCCAGAGGAAACTTAAAAGTTAAGGGAGGATTATAAGAGGTATATTACCAATACAAACAATGCATAGTATTATAATTTTGAGAAATTGATTCCCATTTTCACATATTATAGATATGTTGGTGACTGAGAGATCGAGATATTTATATTAAACTTTGTAACAATAAGTGATATACTCTAAGTTTTTAACTCTAGTTAATCACTTTTTAAAAAATAGTTTTTAGTTGTCAATAGACCTTTATTTTATTTATTTATATGTGGTGCTGAGATTTTAACCTAGTGTCTCACACATGCTAGGCTGAGCCACAACCCCAGCCCATTGAGGTAACTAAATTACTATGTTAGGAACAGTTTTAACTCTTCTATGGCATGTGTCTTTCTATCAGAGAACCTTAAAACTTCAATCTTAGTCTTCTTTCTTTCATGCTGAGGACTGAACCCAGAAACTAGGGGGTGCTAAATATATGCCCTACTCAGCTACATCTATAGCCCCCATTTTCTTAATAGAATGGCAGAATATATCATAGTTGCATCCTTTATAATGTATTGATTATGAAGAACCTTACTTATAGTCTAAAGATGTTACGACCCTTTATCTCACTTGATGACTCAAGGTGATACCCAAAGCTCATAATAAATCAGGGTAGAAACTAATCACAGAATCTTTTTTTGGTAAGGTGGGAATAGTGAGGCAAAAAAAAAAAAAAATGACCCAAGCACATTGTTTTTGAATGCAAAGATTTGTAGGGAATGATTATTGTGAAATTATATGATAGAAATAACTGCTAATAGGAAGAGAGTGACTCTGCTGTAAGCTAGAATATATAAAAAGGTATTTCTAGGGATGGTATATATTTCTTAGATCCCTTATCTTAATTTTTTTAGTGAGTTACAATTTACATAATGTTCCCCTTTTATAAGTTTATATATAATTCAGTGATTTTAGTATATTTCACAAAGTTGTATAACCATCACCCAAATTCATCACCCACACCCATTAGTAGTCATTCCCCATTCCCATCTATTCCCACCCAATGGTAACTACTAATCTGCTACTGTGGATTTGCCTATGGTGGACACTTTATATAAATGGAATTATATAATAAGTGGCATTTTGGGTGTAGCTTCTTTCACTTAGCATATCATATGTGTTGTAGCACATATCAGTGTTTCTTTTACTAGTTGAATAGTATTCCATTGAATGACTATATCAAGATTCGGGTTGAGGATTGAATTTTAGGCTTTGTATATGCTAAACATGTGTTAATGTAAATGAGCTGAGCTCATATACCCACAGCCCTATCAGATTTTATTTATTCCTCTGCTAATCTGAGTCATTTTTACTTTGGGGTTGTAATGAATAATATAACTATGAATATTTGTGTACAATTTTTAAAATTATATATTTTCATTTCTCTTAGGTATATACCCAGAAGTGGAATTGCTAGATTTTACGTCCAGTGTTCTATTTTCACCTTGTTTTCATGGCGATCTCTGAAGCACTTCTCTCAATGTCCATCTCATACTCCCAAAGTTCTCTTTGGATTTTTAGAACATTTTTACTTCCTTTGGTGATTAAACTGCCCCTCCTAACCTCTTCTGCTAGAGTGATAGTTGGGTAGTTTATGTTAATATCTTTTCATACTTTAACCTAGGTTCCTGCTCAACTTATTGTTACCCAAAGAAAGGGCCAAACATTTCATCCTTTATTTTGTTGGTGGTGGTGGGTTTTTTTTTTTTTTTTTTTTTTTGGTTCCAGGATCAAACCCAGAGCCTGTGCATGTTAGCCAAATACTTTGCCAGAGTTCTATCCCCAGTCCCAACCCTTTAGAACTGATCCTCATCTTGTACCATTTACAAGACTGAATTCATAAACTGCTTTCTCTGTAATAATTTCCTATTTTGCTCCTTTATTAAACATAATCTTTATGCCTATGATGACCTTCAGTCTCTCACTGCCTTTCTATTTCCAGTTTGTTAGCTAATTGCTGTTATAATTTAATCTTCTTATCTAGCTGGAACCCATGGCAAGGTATTTCAATGGTACATTCTCTAGCATCCTTGATTCCTCAATTCCTTTTTAAAATCTCTTGCCCTACCAGTTCTCCAATAGAGGTAGCTTATACCATCTGTTTTCTCTATTCTTGTCCTTCCAAGTTGCTAAGTCCTATGTAACAGTGTCAGCTGGTGTCACTATAAATTCATGGTATACAAGCTCAAGTAGGTACATTATCCTATTTTATATCCTTTTATTATCAAAATGACTTCCTGTCATAACTACCTATTTGGAGGAATTTCTGTTAATAAATTCTTGACCCTCAATCTCCCAGTACACCTTTTCATGGAAAAATGAAATTTTTACTGAGGAGATCTAGGCCAGCTAATGTGCCTATCCTATACTTTTCTGTTTTCCCTAAATCTTTTCAAGTCTAAGCCCTCCTCTTCAGAACTTTCTCCTCCCTACCTCTCCATGGGTTTTCATCAATTATTCTTTTTGCTGCATCTTAAGAGTGGCAGAGTGCTTGCCTAGCATGTGTGAAGCCCTGGGTTTGATCCTTAGCATCACATAAAAATAAAACAAAGGCATGCTGTCCATATACAATAAAAACCCTCCCTTTCCCTACAAATATTTCCCTGTTTTGAAAGAATAACACAATCCTATTTCTATATAATGCTACATACTCTTTAGCAACCCTGTAGATTGCTTTTTCAAGGAAGTGTAATTCTCTCCTGGTTTTCAAACTTAATTCTTTTTGAAATTGTTTTCTCATGAATCACCTGTTCACTAAATCTGAAGTTTATCATTTTGGTTCCCTGTGGGCTATAAACAGGTTATTTAAGCTTCAGAGCCTCTTGCTTGCAGGGACCTTAAAATGTTTATTTGGTTAAAATTTTTCATGAAGTTGCAAAAGAAAAATTTTTTTGAACTCTTCTTCTTGAGTTTCAGGCTTAAACTTAGATCTGTCCCTCACATAAAAGAAGTTTATCAGATTCTGTTATAGCCTATAGAGGTAACAAAATGGGGCATGGCTCTCTCCAACTCACAGTAAAGGACAGAGGTAATTGCTACAAGAATACTTAACATCTTGGGTTGACCAAAAAGGGTATTTCCCTACCTAGGTTCCAGGTCCATTCCTCAACATAGGGTCAGGAACTAGGTTTTAAGCAGCTTGGACAAGATAACTAAGCACAGGAAGATTAATACTTGCTAATCAAACTTACTAAAGATAGTTTATTTCTTAGTATAAAGAAGGAATTAATACTGACTATAAATGTCTGCTATCCAGGACACTTCCCCAAATCAGGGGAAACCAAATATTATAAAGTGTGGAATGAGAGTGAAAACCTTAGGGTCTCAAGTTTGTTGAAAATTAGGGAAATCCTGTTTCTTATGTGTGTATGTGTGTGACTTGAACACACAAGATATTGATTGATCTACCAGTCATTTCAAGTAGCGAGTTGTTCTGATCTGCAGACGTTAGACCTTTTAACATCATAAGCCCCAACTTCACCCCATTTGGCTGCTGTATAAAGGTACTGAGCACCCATCCTAGCACCTTCCCTCTTTTTTTTTTTTTTCCATTCATGCCCTCTCTTCCCTTCCTTGATCTTTCTTCCCAGTGTTTCACTGCCCAGGCTTAATCAGGTGTGTAAATGCCTACCTTCTCTCAAACCTACTAAATCGCCTCCTCACTGTGATCTTCACCTTTGCCTGACCAGACAGATTATCCCTACGCCCAGAACGGAAAGGACTACCGAATCGGGATTGGGTTGAACCTCCCCTGGTGGGGGCACCCAGGGCCTGCTTCCTGCTTAAAGCGGAGAAGCTGTGAAAAACACTCTTCTTTCTATGCTTTCAGTCCTACTTAACCGCCACCTTACCCTTCGCTAGGCCTGTTGGCTCCTTTGCGAGCAGAGGTCTGCCGCAGGCGAAGAGGCGCCTCCCAACCACAGAACGTTGGTGTGCGGAGATGCAGGCAACTGCGCGTCGGCGAACAGAACCTGAGTCTGGCCCCAGGTGAAGGGGCGGGGATATTGGCTCTAAGCCAATCATAGCGCCTAACGACAGGGCTGGACCAATCAGAGTAAGGGAGGTCGGGCACTCGCGGGGCGGACCTGGAAGGCTGAGAACCCGCCTCCTTGCAGCTCGGTGGCCAACGCCTTCGCTGAGGGCTAGTTGGAGCCCGGCTGCTTCACAGACTCGGGGGACTGAGCGCCTTCAGAGCTGTGGGGCGGTGCCCTCTTACCACTGCTAATTTTTCTACAGGCCTTGGCCTTGACAGGTGTTGGTGCCTGCGGTAGACTCATTCTGATTCGTGCACAGACTCTCTCTAGAGACTGTGCCTATGGCTGGAGACAGAGTGAGGTCGTTGCCTTGACGACGACAGCATGCGGCCAGCGGTCCTCCTAAGTGTGAGCTTGCGGCGGGCTGAGGCCCATCTGCCTCCCAGCCTGCTTCACCCAGGACCCGTCACTGTGCCCGCAGAAGAAATCATAACACTGGAATTGCTAGTTTGCTAGTCAGCATCTTTTAGTCCAGCTAGCGAGATGCATTTCACCTCAAATTTGTTTCCAAGTTGAAAACCTTTGGATCTTTCCATGTGAAAGGATTTGAAGAAACAGTAAGTATATGACTTTAAAGAGCTTCTATTTTCTTGTTCTTTTACCAAAAAAAAAAAAAAAATCTGTCTATAACAAAATAAAAAATTAGCATTATATAAATTATTAGTATTAGAACCATATGCTTACATGGCGCATGTTCAGAAATACTTAATAGTGTCAACTTGCCAGGCTTCTTTAGTTTTATTACCCTTAGATTCAACAATAGAAGGCATGAAAAGAGTTTATGAGTAACTATTTCAGGAAACAAGGTTTTGTGGACCGTGATACTTTTAAGGTATTTGTAGGCAGTGTCACTTGAAAAAGCAGGTGTGTTCAAAGTGGTGTGCCCACATGTGAAGTTGGTTGGGAAAATAAACTTGGAGTAGTCAACATGGATAAAATTAGTTTTGATATGCTTCAGAACACCTTAGATATGCTTAAGGTAAATTTTATTTTGTTTATTTTGCACTTTAAAGCATTGATGCCAATTACAAAATGTTTTTTAAATGATCCTGCATAGATTCCAGCTATTTTTATCATTGAAGTGGTAAACCTAGTCTGGTCTTTAATAAAACATACTTTCTTAATGGAAAGACAAAAAAAATTAGGAGAGGAGCTATTGGATTATATTGAATTTTTTCAAATACAAACATTTTATTAAAAAATAGTTAACAGAAGTTAAAATGTCAAGTATATGGAAAGTCAGTGTCTGGGACCCTGCTCTGTAGTTTGTAGTAGAATCTACAATCAAAACTGGTAGTAAAATTAATGACAGCATTTGAGTTGGAGTCGAATGGATTGTCTTCATTTTTACCCTTCAAAGGCCAATCTTCTGGTTCTTCATTTATATTTACATTAAAAATATGTATATAATGGGAGCTAGGGATTGTAAGCTCAGAGGTAAAGTATCACTTAGCAAGCTGGAGGCCCTGGGTTCTATTCCCAGCAGTGCGTGCACACACATGCGTGCACACACACACATACACACAATGTATATAATCTAACCTCAAACTTAAATGTCAAGTGCTGAAAATTTATTATTTACATTGGATTATCATGGTTTTCTAAAGCAAAGGGAATATATGTTTTTTCTTTGCCATCTGTAAAGAAGACAGTAAAACATTACCGCAACAATTTGGGAAAATTTATTTTAGATTGCCCTAAGTACACAATATAACAGGCAAGCATTTTTTTCCTTTCAAAGCTTATGAATGCCTGTTTTTTTTTTTATCAAGGCTTTAATAATTCACCTATGAATCATCTCTTGAATATGAAGTTACTGAAAGACTGCTTTTTCTCTCCAAACTATTGAAACTTCATTGGAATTTGGAGCAGTACTTTTTAATCTTCTGAAATTTAACTTTATAATCAGATGACAAAACTAAATTTAAAAACCTCAATTTAACTTTGAAGTTGTAATAATTTAATAGCTTTCATATATCACAGCAAGCAAACCTTATGAAAAAAATCTATTTTTTCTGTAATAATTGTGTGTGTGTGTGTGTGTGTGTGTGTGTGTGTTGCTGGAAATTGAACCTGGACCCTCAAATATTCTAGGCTTGTGTTCTACCACAGAACTATACCCCCAACCCTAAAATAATTTTTTTTTTCTGTGTGAAACATGTAGTGAAATGATTGTAGCACCTCCATTAATCATTGATAAAACAAGTAAGATTCTCTTGTGGTTAACTTAATTCAGAAAATGTCATAAAGTGATTTGTACAAGAATTCAAACCATAAAATTCAAATGATTGTGCAATGGGTAATCACTAATCAGATTTTAAAAATACTGTATTTTGTGATACTTATATTTAATTTCTTTTAAAAAATCTGCTAATATACTGTGATGGTATTGATCTTATTTTATAAGTTCAATATAGCAATTTAAGCTGGGTGCTTTGGCACGTACCTATAATACCAGTGCTTCAGGAGAGTAAGGAGGAGCACAAGTTCAAGACAAGCCTTAGCAACTCAGTGAAACCCTGCCTCAAAACCAACCAACCAACCAACCAACCAATAAATAAATAAATAGGGGTGGGGATGTAACTCAATGATAAAGCACTCCTGGGTTAAATCTTCAGTACCCTCCACCCCACAAGCAAAGTAAAGGAAAATTAATCAAAGATTCAGTGTTAGTTTGTTAAGTGATTATTTTGTGATCAATTTTTTTCCAACTGAGTACATAAAGATTTCCAACTTTGATTTTAAAAAAAACTTAATTTTCTTTTAGTTGTGCCTTTTTCACCTTTGAGTGAAAAGGAATTGTGCTTTTTCTAAAATGTTTATATGATATTTTGATCTAAATTAAAATATATTGAATTTCATTAAAATGACAGCAAATTAAATTTACAGTTAACCGCTTTAATTCCTTTGCTTTGTCTATTAGGAAATGTGTATGGATTTTGTGAAAACAGAGCTTAGATATGAAAACACTAAGAAATTGTATTAGTACAAATAGCCAAAGACAGTAATATGACTGCTGTAATATGGAAAATGAGCAGGAAAGAACTAATTGCTGGGAGGATGGAGGCAATTAACATAATCAAAACTATTAATTCTATGTCTTGTTTTTCATAGCAAGAAAAATTCCTACTGGTTTTAAGTTAAAATGGAAAAATATGAGAACCTAGGGTTGGTTGGAGAAGGGAGTTATGGAATGGTGATGAAATGTAGGAATAAAGATAGTGGAAGAATTGTGGCCATCAAGAAGTTCTTAGAAAGTGATGATGACAAAATGGTTAAAAAAATTGCTATGCGAGAAATCAAGTTACTAAAGGTGAGTAAATGTATATACTGAATTTATAAAATGAGTTGTTTCTTGTTCAAAATTATAGTAAAGAAAAATATTACTTTTTTATATTTGTTTTTATTTTATAACAAACTAAAGTATAAATTTCTTTCATCAATAAGAAGAAATAAAATGATTATGTATGCAAATTTACCTTGTGAATGTAAAGATGATTTTTAAAATATTTCTATCTTCTCTCTGTATCTATCGTCTATCAATCAATCATCTGTTTGCCATCTGTATTGGGGAGTCCAAAGATCACCTCCATCTTCTATAACTCAGAGTCCTCAGCATATAGTTGCATTTATGGGTATGACTTATTATAGTGAAAGGATATAAAGAATATAAAGCCAAAGCCACAAAGGAACAAGGCATATGGGATAAATTCCAGAGGAAACCTAGGACAAGCTACTTTCCCAGTGGAGTTACTCACATGCTTATTTCCCCCAGGAATGAGTAGTGACAATACATGTGAAATATGGTCTACCAAGGAAATTCATTAGAAACGCAAGCATTCACTGGGGTTTTACTGGGGATTGGTCACATAGGCACTCTTCTTGGCACTCACCAAAATTCCAACTTCCCAGAAGGAAAGCATTTATTCAGCACAAAACAAATTTTTTTTGCAGAATGAGCCACCCATATTGGTTCTGGAAATGAAGAGAACCTTCCTGAAATCTACATTACCAGCAGTCACCAAGGCCCACAAGGCAGTCCTTTCTAAGGATAGCAGTCTAGCCCTATTATGCAAAGTCCTTTGTCTCTTTCTCTATCAATTCTATTTATCTTTAGAAGGAATCAGTGTTTGACTTTTTAAAATTTTATTATTTCATTCCTTCTTATTATTTTGGATGAGTTTGTTTTGCACTTCTTTTCCCTAACTTATTGAGATAAATGCCTACTTCTTTAATTTCCAACATTTTATTCCCCACCCTCATACATGGATTTAAAGCAGTACATCTTCTCTATGGACATGGTAGTATGTATCCCAGAAATTTTGATTATTAGTTGAAAATATTTTCTCATTTCCATTATACTTTCCTTGATCTCTGAGTTATTTAAAAGTATATTTACATTTTTGAAATATGTGGAAAATTTTTGGGTTTTCTTCCCCTGTTAGTTATGGCACAGCTACTCTGTGATCTGAGCATATGCTATATAAAAATAATTCCTTTGAATCTTTTTTTTTTTTTTGCAATTTGGTTTGTAATATAGTCACTTAAAAAATTACTTGTGATTAAAAAGTATTCTATTATAGCCATTAGACCATGTTTGTTAAGTATATTGTTCAAATCTTCTAATTCTTATTTTTTTCATGTTTGTTCTACCTAAAACTGAGAAGAGATATGTTAAAATCTTTTGTGATTATTGATTTTTCTACTTTTCATTGTAGTTCAGTTAATGTTTATAAACAAAAAGGCTATATTATCAGTGTGTCAAATTTAGAATTATCTATCTTCCCGCTGAATCAAATATTCTATCATCATGAAACATAATCCTGTCTATTATTGTAATAGTTTGTCTTAATGTCTGTTTTGTCTGAACTCAGATTATGCTAGTTTAATTTTAGTTAGTGTTTCCATAGTATATCTTTGTCTATATTTTTACTTTCAGTTTTCCCGACTTGTCTATATATGTGTCTGCATATAGGTACATTTTGCTTTTTATTCTGTTTGATAACATTTGCCTTTTAATTGGAGCATTTATCCATTTACATGTAATGTAATATCTGAAATATTATTTGTCATACCTATTCAATACTTGTCTTTCTCTTCTTACTTTATATTGATTACATTTATTCCTTTTTATTTCCTAATAATTTAGAAACTAAACATTGTTTCTTTTAGTTTTTTTGTTTATTTATATTTATTTATTTATCTATCTATCTATTTATTTATTTATTTATTGTGCCAGGGATTGAACCACCAGGGATACTTCATCACTGAGTTGCAGCCCCCACTCCCCCAGCTCCTTTTATTTTTTTATTTTGGGATAAGGTCTCTGGAGCCCCTAGTACAACCAGGAACCATGGGGCACATTGTTTCTCTTAGTGTTTCTCCTAGAAATTTGTCAAAAAGAGTAACATTATCCAGTAATTTTATTCTTTTCTGAGACATATGGAAACATTTTGCAAAACTTTTTCTTTGGTTATTCCCTTCCATTTTATATGCTAGTATCATTACACTTCAACATTACCCTAATATATTTTAAGATATAATTATTCAGTGATTTGTGTGTATGGTGTGCGTATGTGTGTGTGTGTGTGTGCGCGCGTATGTGTGTGTGTGTGTGAAAGAAAGAGAGAGAGAGAGGGAGAGAGAGAGAGAGAGAGAGAGAGAGAGAGAGAGAGAGAGAAATGGTGAGGATCAAACAAACCAGGTCTCACGTATGCTAGGTAAGCACTCTACCACTGAGCCACATCCTAGGCCTTTTAATTTTTATATCAAGATAAGATCTTACTAAATTGCCCAGCCTGGCCTTGAACTTGTGATCCTCCTGCCTCAGCCTCAATAGAAGCTGGGATTACACATGTGCACCACTATATCCAGATTCATTTAGCTTTCTATACATTGATCACTTTATTTGGTTGTCCTTTTTTGTTATATTTCAGACCATTCATCTGGGATCTCTTTCATTCTTCTTGAAGTACATTATTCAGGATTTCCATTTGTGAGAATCTACTGCAGGCATAATATTTCCACTTTAGTTTGGTGAAAATGTCTTTTATTTTGCTGTTATTCTTGAAAGATATTTTTGTTGGGTATGGAATTTTAGTTCAGCAGTTATGGCAGTTATTTTCTGTCCACAAAATGAGGGTAACATTGTTCTGTCCCTTGGCTTCCACTTTGCTTCTTGAGAGGTCAGCTGTCTGTCTAATTTCTATTCTTTAGTAAGTCTGTACTTTAATATCTGGATATTTTTTCTTTCAACTTTTTGTTTACATATAATATATATGCAGAAAAGTGTATGCATCATAAAAATACATCTCTATGAATTTTTAAAAACGGAATGAGCTCATGTAACCAGCATCTAAGTCAAGACACAAAACATTACAATCACTCCATGAGCCCCTGGATCCCTGGATCCTCTTCCCCTCAGAAAATCGTTAAAGTTTTCTTTTTGTTCTGGCTGCTTATATTATTTTCTCTTTAAATTTCTTCTTCTGTAGGTTCATTATGATGTTTATTCTACTTAGAATTCACTGAATCTATGATATGATTTTTAAAATTAATTTTGGAAAATTATCAGTTATTTCTTCAAGTATTATCCAGACCTTTCTATTCCATTTTTGGAACTCCAGTTAACATATATTAAATTTTCATATGGAATCATCTGCTTTTCTTATCTGTTTTCCTTTCCATCTATTGTTTTTGTATTCTTCAGCACAGTTTATTTAGTTTACTAATCCCCTCCTCAGTATGTCATTAATCTCCATCATTAAGTTGCTCATTTGGAGTATTATTTATATATATATTTTAGTTGTAGTTGGACACAATACCTTTATTTTATTTATTTATTTTTATGTGGTGCTGAGGATTGAACCCAGGGCTTCGCACATGCTAGGTGAGTGTTCTACTGCTGAGCCACAACCCCAGCCCTGGAATATTATATTTTTGTATTTTTAAAATTTTATAAAATATAGACCACATATAGACAGTGCACAAAACAATAATTATTGCTCAATTAATTATTGCAAAGCAAACATTTATGGAATCACTCTCCAGGAAATAAAACATTGCTAAGGACGTTCTTATATACTATGCCAGTCATTCAACCCTCTGTCCCTTTATGGATAAACATTATCCTGATTGGATATTAATCACTGCCTTGATTTTTTTTCACATTTACTAACATGCACTCTTAATCAATGTAGTTTTATTTGTTTGTTTGTTTGTTTTGGTACCAGGGATTGAACCCAGGGGGCTTAACCACTAAGTCTCCAACCCTTTTTATTTATTTATTTATGTATTTTGAGACAAAAGTCTTACTAAGTTGCTTAGGCCTTCCCTAAAGTGCTGAGGCTGACATTGAACTTTCAATCCTTCTGTATCAGCCTACCAAGACGCTAGGACTACAGGCGAGTGCCACTGTGCCCAGTAATTTTTAAAAATTATTTTTAAATACACAGAAGAAAAGGGAACAAATCCTAAATATACAACTCAGTGAATTACCAGAAAGTGAATATACCTGTGTATCTACTATCCAGGTCAAGAATAGAATTTATTATAACCTCAGAAATCCCTCAAACCTTTATCTCAGTTATACTTTGACTATAAATCATATACTAATTATTTGTGTTGTAAATTTCTTTTGTCCTCTGTGAGCTTTCTCCTCCCTTTCTTAATGATGCCTTTTTTAAAACAGAAGTTGCTAATTCCAATGTATTAAATTTTTAATCTTTTAGATTGGTGCCATTTATGTCCTGTTTAAGAAGTTCTTTTCCTACCTAGAGTTTAGTTAGGATATTTTTCTATATGATCATCTAGAAACTTAATAGGTTTGCTTTTCATGTTTACATTTCAGGACACCCAAGATTGATCTTAATCATGTTTTACGGCACAAATCTTACATTTTTTTTTTTTAATAGATGTTCAGTTGTCCAAGAAATATTTATTGAAAAATATTATATTTTCCCCACTGTTCTGAATGCTTCTTTTAGAGAATGTTCTTATATGTAGCTGTAGTTTTGTATTCTTTATTATGTTTGTCTCTCTGAGGCTCCAGGAAGCCTGGTGATGCTAGCATTCTAATATCATCTTAATCTCATTTAAGGGATTTACATGATTTGAAGTTGAGTTGTAGCTTCTGAGGCAGGCTACTGATGATTCACACTTATTCATAGTTTGAGGACTTTTTAGGCCAACCTAAAATAGGAGGATTTCACCAGTGCTGTACTTTTTCTTCCCATCTGGACACTGGTCACTGCTACCTTAGTCCCACAATACTGTCAGAAGTTTCACTGAGTCTCTTCTCTCCGAATTGGTATG